CCGCCTGCAGAGCCGCCTGCAGAGCCGCCTGCAGAGCCGCCTGCAGAGCCGCCTGCAGAGCCGCCTGCAGAGCCGCCTGCAGAGCCGCCTGCAGAGCCGCCTGCAGAGCCGCCTGCAGAGCCGCCTGCAGAGCCGACCCCCCTGCCCCTATCGTGGGCCTCCATCGCCAGCTGGCCCACCCTGGCCCAGCCGTCATGGCCCAGGCCCCTCAACACGTCCAGCTCAGCGCCCTCCACGTCCACCTTCAGGAGGGAGACACGCCTGCGGCATGAGGAGGCCGACAGGAAGTGGAGTGAGGGGTTGGGGTGGGGGGTTGGGAGGCTGTGCGCTGCGTTCAAGCAAGGGTGCTGTGCTCAGTGCACACAAAACGTGCAAAGGGCCTGGATTGGGGGGAGTTACTCAAGCTTTTTTTTGCTTTTGCAATAATCCACGGTCCAGGATGTGGCGATGGGCAATGTGAAAAGAAGCCGTACTAAGGGGCAGAGGCAGGGTGAGCTAGCGGGTGATGTTCAAGGCAGGGCGCCAAGGGTGGTCTTTGGGGTCAGGGGACTATTTTCATAGCAGGGTTTGGATTGTTGTGCTGAAGTGGGGGTTGAAAGCGGCAGGTTGTAGCGCAGCTGCCTGAATGCGTAACAGTTCAAGCAACCAGACCACTACAGACATTCCTGGAGATATCTTCCCCGACACATCTCAGCTCTGCAACGCACACTGCCGCTGATCAGAAAAAAGGCGCGTACGCTGTGCAGACAACATCCTCACTCACTCAATCCGGAGCTCCTGGAACAGCTGTCCAAGTGCCACGACGCGGCAGCGCACGTGCTGCCGGCCCCCCATGAGGACGAGCCGTATGTAGGCGCGCTCAAGCAACCGCAGGGCGCCGCGGCCGAGCGGCTGCCGCCGCAGAGCCGCCGCCACGGGGAGCTGCCAAATGGGGAGGGGCAGCAATATTTAAGGGGACTTTCAGCCCTCCCTCAATACAACCCGTACAGCAACCTCATGAGCATCCAGGTCTGAAACAAACATAATGCGACACAAGCATGGCCACAAATCGTGTAGCTCCAAAAGCAGTGCCGAGGTCCGAGAAAATCCTGGTGGAGGGGCTGTGGCCCCCCTAACCTCCCAGGCACCCGGCCCTCACCAGTAACCGCTCCACCAGCCCAACCGGGGCCTCCTCCTCCGCTGCCCGACTCTCGGGCGCAGCCGCCGCCGCAAATGCCGTTGCAGTGCCCGCTGCCGCCACAAGGCTTCCGGCCCCGCCGCCCTCGCCGCTGCCCCCGCCGCCGCCGCCGCTGCCAGCCGCCCCTATGGCTTCCAGCCGCTGCTCGATGTATGCCTCCATGTTGGCCGCGGTCTCGTCGTCATCCGGCGCCATGGATGACCAGCCAGACGCGCTGCATTGCTCGTGAGAGGTGTTGTGGGTTGGGTTGCGTACGTCAGCCGTCGAGGCAAGGCGCAGGGAGGAGTGCAAAAACATGACATCATGTTTATCCTGCTTGCGCCTCCTTGCCGCGTCCCTGCCCTTTATGAAGCAGTGCACAGTGCCAAGCCTCTCATCAGCAACGAGCGTCCTGTGACCGACCGCCCCTGTCACCACACAATCACCTGCAGCAAGCAACAACCCCTCCTCACCGCTCATAGATCGTAAACTCAGCTTCTCCGCAGCTGCCGTCCCCCGCTGCAGCCTCCACCACCTCCACCGGGGCTACCCCCACGCCGCGAGCCGCGCACCACACCGCGTGGCGCACCACATTGTCGCGACAGGCTGCGGCGGCAGCGGGGGTCGGCTCCAGAGCTACCACCCGGCCAGTGGGGCCGCACGCCTGGCAGTGGGCGGGTTTGTCGCGCGGGCGGCCGTTGATGAAAACGAGCTTGTACATGTGACATGACATAACGGCTCGGGGCCGCATCCCCGACCCCACTGCTGTGGAGCCGAAGCCTCATGCCGGTGATGCTGCAGTCAGTTGTGATGACCTTGCATGCGCCTCTGGTTTCCGTAGCTTTGCAACCCCCTTGCGTCTCCGACCCTGCTGAAATTCAGAAGAAATTTAGCAGCAGAGGGAGCGGTCCGCGCACCTCTGCTGCTGCGAGGGCGAAGAGCCCGATGTTGGCACCGACATCCACCACGGTGTCCCCCGGCTGGATGCACACCTGAGTGGGCATCACACACGCGTGCGTGATCGCATGGACGTGCATATATGCACAAGAATGGGCGCCTGCGCGCTCACACGAGCTTCATCCAGTTGTCAGTTGCTGCCCGTCTTGTTGTGAAACTTGTGCCTGCTGCCCAGCCGCGGAATGCCAAGCTTCATCCCCAGCCACCGCCCAATCCTCAGCCCCAGCCCCAGCCTCAACCACAGGTCCCACCCACTCCTCCACCTCCCAACCCCAACACGCCCCACCCCGTGTCTCAGGTACACGCGGTCCACCCAGTGCTCCCGGTAGAAGAACAGCGCCTCGTCAGCGGTGGACGCATGCCTGCGGTGACGGCAGCGTGGGTCGCATGTTTTAAGAAAATGTCAGTGGTCTTGATTGGGGATGATCGGGTGAGTTTGGTGAATACCAGGTGGGAAGCTCATGGATGAATGGAACACATTGCGAGTGCTCCGCTGCGGCCGTTCGCCCACTGCAGAGCCGTCGGCGGACGCGCGCTGACCTGATTGTTAGCCCATTGGGCAGTGTGATGGTTGACGCCCTGCAACAATGCCGTCTAGGTCTGCTCGTGCGTTGATAGCGGGGCCCGGTCCGCGGAGCTTGGTTTGACAAGATCATGCTCGCCTTTTGGGCCGACGAACCCTCAGACAATCTTGTGTAATTTACCAAAGCGCAGGCCGAGGCAATTGCATGTCGCGCTGTGGCTGTGCGTGTGCTGTGAGAAGTGCCAATGCGACGCATGTGCGATGGCAGGACTGAACCAGGCGAGTGTGTCTCTCAGTCAACTCCAAGCGCTGCCTGGTTGGAGGGGCGCCGCTGTCTCAACTGCCTAGCAGTGACACGCCGAACGAACAAGAACTCCCAAAACCCATGCCAAGGTGTGGTTACTGAAGCTGGAAGCAGCTGATCCGTGACGGGCTGCAGCTGGGGCAGTGCAAGCACAGCATGCTTCGCAGGCAAGCAGAGGCGCTGCGACGTCGGGACGCCACTCCACTGTGTCAAAGCGGGCCCACACCTGGAGCAACCTTGCCCTCCCTATCTCAACTACGCCGGTGTGGCGTTACAGGGCTGCGTGACTTGCAAGAGTTCCCATGCGTTCTGCGGAAGTGGATTCTTCGACAAATGGCAAAGGGACCCGATCTTTCGACGGTAAAGGGACTCAAACCGAGCAAGGTGTGCACGAGGGCGCGGCCGCGTTTACAGGGCGCCGCTATGCCGCCGCACATCTCCTGGGAGCCAACAATGCAGACCCGCAGTGTGCATGCCGCTGCGCTGTGAAGCACGATATCGGTGAATGGCGAGCTGCGCTCCCTTTACTCAGCAGTCCTGCCGGCGCACTAAGCGCGGTGAAAGCGCAGCGCGCGGCTCGCGCCTGAAATGACAGGCACGGGTCGGCAATCTGGAGGAGGGAGAGGTGGGGGTAACACAAGCCCAGGGGTTGCAATGCAGCGCGCCTTGAGTCAAGATGGCAGCCAAACAGCCGAGATTGCCACCAGTGTGTTACGACTGGGTGCGCCGGCGGCCCCAAGATGCCACCCCGCTAGGTTGTAACTCGTAAAACGCGCCGTGTGGGGCGCCGTGACGGAGTGTAGGCTAGGCTTCTCCACAGAATTGTTGCCGCGGCGCGGCGCGAGTGAACAAAAGAGCAAGGACATGAACCACATCGCGCAAAAACGAAAATCACGACACGATAACAAGTGCGGCCGCCCGCCGCGGCTGGCCGGGGGCCAGGCAACCCCTGTGCCGCCGAGCGGCGCTGCTCAGTTCGCGGCCCACGGCCCCGACTAGTGCTGCGCGCTCGGGGGCCCCATCCCGGCCTGCACAATCTGATGAGGTGTCAAATTGCATCGGATCTGTCAGATCTACTTGATGTCGACGATCTTGATCACCGACGCGTTGCCGATGCGGTGCAGCGCGACGATGCAGTCCCCCTTGGCGCAGTACCGCAGGCGCTTCGCGTGCTCGATCGCGGCCGCCAGTATCTCGTCCGTCGTGTCCGTGTCGGTCGCGCGCGCGCTGCCCTCCGCCAGCAGCGGCAGCAGGCCGCGCGTGATGAGGCACTGCCGCGCGGGCGCCTCGTTGCTGCAGGTCCAGGTGAGGCTGTCGGTGGTGAGGACCGGCACGGCCACGGTGAGGACGGGAACCAGGGGCCTGTACTTGGCCACGAGCCGCGCGGTGGAGCCGCCGCGCGTGAGCACGACGATGAGGGAGGCGTGGACCTTGTGGGCGGTGCGGACGGCGCTGCTGGCCAGGGACTCGAGGGGGCTCATGGGCAGGGGGGCCTGCAGGCACACACAGGGCAGCGGGGTCGGAGGGACGCAGGTGTCATGGACTGTTGCTCAAGGGCTGGCCGGGAGGAGCGGAAGCCGGAGGGCCGCCTCGGACGTGGTGCATATCTTGCAGCAACACGCCGACAGGAGTGAAGAACAGTCAATGGGCCCCGGTCCCCGTGCAGTTTCACGACGCATCTTTGCACCACTTGAAGACGCCTTGTACCACCCCAAAAAATTGCGGCCGCACCTGCTTGAGGATGTTCTTGAACATGGCGTAGTAATCCAGGGACGCCTCCGCCTCGCGGCAGATGCGCGTCATCACCTGAGGGGGTTGACGGGGGGAGGGGTGTGCATGGGTCAGCACGAGGGGGCGGGGCGGCCCTTCTGCAGGCGCGGCGCGCGGCCTGGGGTGGCCGGCGCTGCCGCACGCGACTCGCAGACCGGCAATAATCAGGGCGCCAGAGGATTGGCAGAGGGCGGCAGGGGCGGCGGGAGAGGGAGGCGTCGCGCCCGCAGTGGCACCCCTTTCTGGCCTGGCCACCACAGGACGGGGTCCTCAAAGGACCTGCTCAACGCCGCGGCGTCTGCTGGCCTGTGTTCCCCCTCTGCATGGCTCCCCCAATGACATGCACACACACAAACACAGCTGCACAGTCTCCCTATGAACTTCAGATACGCGGCCGTCATCACGAGCGCACCTTGACGGCCTCCACCGGGAAGCTGCCCGCCGCGGTCTCCCCGCTGAGCATGACGCAGTCCGTGCCGTCCAGCACTGCGTTGGCCACGTCGGTGGCCTCTGCGCGCGTGGGGCGCGGGTTCTTGATCATGGACTCAAGCATCTGGGTGGCCGTGATCACGGGCTTGCCTGAGGGGAGGGGTCCGGGGGTGGGGCGGGTGTGCGGGGCCAGGGGCTGCGGTCAAGACTGTGGTCAACAGCGTGCTGCAGCGTGGTCCCCATGCTTTTGTGCCTCGCCCTCCTCGCCCTCCGCAGCAATTGAGAAGTGCGCCGCCGTCGCCCCAGCGGCGCCGGCTGGCGACTTGAGCGCAGCGGACAATGGCGCGCCTGGGTAGAGGCATCACAAGCGCAAAAGCAGCGCGCATCTGCACGCGGAGCTGACGCATACCCCCTTCCTCCATCCCCGCGCGCACCCGCGAAGTTGCACTTCTGGATCATCATCTTCTGCGCCAGGAAGATCTTCTCCGTGGGGATCTCCATGCCCAGGTCCCCGCGCGCCACCATGACGGCGTCGGTGCGGTCCAGGATGGCGTCAAAGTTGAGGAGGCCCTCCTGGTTCTCCACCTTGCTGATGATCTTGATGTACCTTTTGAGGGGGTTGAGTGGGGGGGTCGAGGGTGTGTGAGCGGTGCGTTGCGTGCAAGAACGGGTGGTGAAGGTTTGGGGTGGAGTCCAGGGGAGGACAAGCGGCCGTCAAAAATGAGTGCGCGACTCCGTCGGCGACGCCGTGCATGCGTGCATGTGGGCTTTGTGCCTTTAGACGGACAGCCGCTTGATGGGGTGTGCTGTTTTTCACTCGCCCTCCCCTGCAGTGCCAGCAACCACCTGCCTCCGCAGCCGTGAGAACCCCGGCTGCCGATTGCCGATACCCCTGCCCGCACAATCAGCCATCATAGCTACCCTCTCCCGTCCGAACTCCGCACCCCAATCTCTATATCGCTCCACAAGCAGGCAGCCACGGGACACTGCAACAAGCCTCGTCCTGATGCCGGTGCTGTCGCCCAGCCCCGTCACCCCTGCCCCCTCACCCCCGCCCTGCCCCTCACCTGCCCTTCTCCCCCAGCACCTCCCTGATGAAGTCCAGGTCGCTGCCCTTGCGCACAAAGGAGGCCGCGATGACGTCAATCTCGTTGGGGATGCCCCAGTTGACCTGACCCCAGGGGGGGGGGGGTGCATGGATTACAGGGGGTTGAGGTGAGTGGTGAATGGAGAACCACTGAGGCCGACGCTACCGGCACCCACGGCACCGCCGCGTCTGCTGCTGCGCCGCCGCCTGCCCGGCTGCCAACGGCCTCCCTGAGCCGCACCCTGGCCGCCAGCCTGCGAGCGCCCTGTCATCCAACACCGCCCGATTGTCGCCCCTTTTTCATCTGCAAAAACCCCTCCAGGCAGGCACTCAAACGCAGTGGCCCACGCTGCCCTGCATCGCCCCCCTCCTTCATTGCCTTCCCTAGCACTCCGGCACTCCCCCCCTGCTGGCCCCGCGTCCTGCGCCCACCCCCCCCCCCAAAGCGCCCCCCAAACCGCGGCCCACCAGGTCGTCGATGTCCTTCTCCGTGAGGGTGGGCAGGTCCACCACGACACCAGGCAGGTTCACGTTCTTGCGCTCACTAATGGGAGTGGGCGGCAAGAGTGGGGGGGGGGGGGGCGCGAAGTCCATCAGGACGGGCGTGCACAAACCAACGGTGTTTGTCCGCGAGGCTGCGCTCCAAAGCCCCGCTGATCTCATGCCGAATGCCTAAGGGCGGCCACCTGGTGACCCCGCCGCCGCCGCTGGCGCCTGTTGCCGCCCACCACCCAGCTGCGGCACGAGCACCCGGCGCCTGGCCTCCCCCTATAAGTGTGTCGTGCTCACCCCAGGACGGCCGTGTTCTTGCAGCGCGCCTTGACCTTGCCGGCCTTGGCGTCGCAGCTGATAACCTCCATCACGATGGACCCGTCAGCGCACAGCACCAGCGCCCCGGGCTTCAGGTCAACAGCCAGCTTGGCATAGCTGGGGGGGGGGGGAGCGGGATGATCGAAGTGGAGTGTGTGTGTGTGTGTGGGGGTGGGGGTATGTGATCGGTCGAATGCACTGTTGGGGGGAGTGGTGAGCGGCTGCATGATGGGATCGGTGCCGGCGCGTTACCTCGACCTCGCAGCAAACTTTGACGACCACGCATGAACACACACACACACACACACACACACACACACACGGGCGTGCATGCCCGTCCTCCGCCCCCACCTCATGGCGATGACGTCCTTGGTGCCCTGGATGGAGTAGTCGGCCGTCAGGGTGACCTCCTGCGGGGGTGGTGTGTGTGTATGGGGGGGGGGCGGGGAGAGTGAGCAATTGCGGATCTCCACCGCAGCAGACGCCGCCTGGTTTTCCGCCCTCCCCGTCAGCTCTCGCTCATCAGCCCTCGTCGCGTGCCGCTCGCTGAGGGAGCCGCATGAAGCAGCTGGGGGTGTCGCCCCCTGGGGGCCAGGGTCGGCTCCCTGCCCTCTGGTCTGCTCTGATCTGGTCTGTTCTCGGACTCACGTCTCCACCAGCCACTCCTAACTGTTACTGCAGGCAGCCGCAGCTGCTGCTTCACCACCCCCCACCCCTCAGCATGTGTCCGTGCCTTCAGACCAAGGAGCCCGACAACTCGCACCCCTCAAGGGCCCCAGGGCTCTGCACCCCTGGCCGCACGAGTGCCCAGCGCGCGCACCTGGCCGGCCGTGAGCTGCACGGGCTTGCCGCCCTCCAGCATGCCGGTGCGGATCTCGGGACCCTGCGGAGGTGTGTACGATAAGTTTGATTAGACAAGAAAGGATAGGGTGCGAACCCTGATGCTGCGTGACCGCCCGCGTCTGGAGACCCGCAGGCTCATGGGATCGAGCTTCACAACGCTTGCTGTGTGTGACAAGGCAAGGGGGGGGGGGTGCGGCAGACCTAGGTCCAGAACGCAACGGCTTCAAGCAAAGTGTTGCACGGTATCGAGCCGGGCTCGCTGCGCCGCCAGCCGCGCGGGCTTCGGCTGTTTGTGGCGCACGCAACAAACGGAGCGCGTGGCGATGCTGCATGCTTCAGTACCCCCGGCAGCCGTCGTTTTGTCAAAGCCCGACCTTGGTGTCGAGCATGACGGCACACATGATCTTCGTGTTCTCCATCGCCTTGCGCAGCGCATTGAGTGTCTCCTGCGGGATAGAGGAGGAGGGGGTGCGGCGTAGGTTGGTGGGCAGGCGGTGATAGGGTTGCGGCAGCGCGGTCGAGCCCAGCAGCAGGGCGGCGCACCCCGCGCAGCGCCAAGCATGTGGATTTGCACGGGACAATACAGCTGCTGGATGCTAGCACTTATAAGGACGATGATGGGCGTTGCACTGAGCATCAAGGCGTTACAAACAGGCCGCGGGACTGAACAAGGATCGCCGGGGCAACCCTGGTGCCGCCTCTCCGCTCCTCTGGGCCACCGTTGCACCCCCGAGCGATTGCCATGGTGCAAGCACCCTGAAAATCATCCCATACGCCGCACCTGGTGGTACTCGTGAGAGCCGTGGCTAAAGTTGAAGCGTGCCACGTTCATTCCCGCCCTGAGCAGCTCCTCGATGACCTCCACCGAGCGAGAGGCCGGCCCGAGCGTGCATACTACCTGTAATGAGGGGCGGAGGCCCGCTCAGCCCTCCACTGCGGAAAGACCGCATCGCGGGCCGGCCCTAACGCCAGCGGCCGCACCACAGCAGCCATTGACGTTCCGACGAGCGTCGCCCGTACCTTAGTCTTCGAAATTGTGCTGGGCGTGCCCGCCAGCACCGCGTCCAGCCCGAGCTGCACCATTTTCGATTAAACTGCGATCTGAAATACACTAGGGAGATGTATGCGCTCTATGGTGCAGCGGGCGGGCAGTGGACGATTATGATACATGTGCTTGAAAGCGCGGCAACCTATCAGGGATCGGCGCAGGCAGCGATTGACCGGGTCACCCACAATTGGCCACCCCCAGCACAAGATGCTCATACCCGATGAGGCGCTTGCGTCGCAGGCACCTATTGGCCATCTTGCACACTGGAAAGTTGTGCTAAGATGAAAATCTGCTGATATATATGGCTTTCGGGACTCCTATACTACGCAGCGGTGGTGTTGCGCGACTGCCTCCCTTGCTGGTCACTGCGCCGATTTCGCAGCCGCACCCCGGCGCTGGCCCTGTCCCAGCTGTATCTTTTTTATACAGTCATCCGTCCTTACAGTGAACCCGGGTGATGCGATTTTTCTGCCTATTGTGAACGCTTTCAGGGGGCCCGTCCTGCACAAGTACAAATCCGACCCGCACCCTCCGGGTAAAGCGAATTGCGAACACCGCCTAATGCGAAGGCTGGGGGGCCTGATCCTTCACAATACCAAGGGGCGGCCAGCCAGCAGCAGCAGTCCGGCTGCTGTGCCAGGGCTTGATCCCTGGCAGATCAGTGTCTGGTGTCACTGGGGTGGGGGCACGGGGTAAGGGGCTGCTTCATTGTGGTCCATCTGGCTGGAACTTTACTTAGCAGGCCACACACATACTACTACTATTTCTCATTGACAAACGTGGTGCAATGTCAGAGGCAGCAGCGGAAGCGGGCAGCAGCAGCGGCAGCCTGCAGACGCCGCCACGCGCGGATGATTGGCACCAGCACGGCAGTGCCGTTGCACTCACTACTGCATCCTGTCGCTTGGCACCTCCCCCAGCCCCAGCGCCGACTGCCCCAACCAACAGGCAGGGCGGGCAGCCACAGTGCGCGCATGGCGCACTCTGCTGCCGCTGGCCTGCGTGCCCACAAGCGCTTGCCAGCGAGATATCTGTGCCCCAATCCACGTTTTATTTGATTTTTATGTCTTTTCTGCGTTTGCAGTATGTAACCACCTGCTGTGCTGGCTCAATCCAGCCTTCCCTCGGATATGTAAAGCCCCAGCCCAGATGTTCACAACTTCAGAGATTAGAACAAAACACCCAAGGCGAACGGGGTTGGGGGGGGGGCTGTTTTGTTCATTGTGACGAGGGATGACTGTATGGGCGAAACAACCAGGGCGCCATGGTCTCCAGGACCCCGGGCTGCATCTCATTTGCGCTTGTCACCTCCTTGCATTTGTATGGTGCATGCAGCGCAGATGCTCACGTAGGCCACCCCAACACAGCAGGCGTCACCGCCTCCATTGCCGACCGCATGCCGGACGCATGCACTCTGAGGAATGCTCAGAGGTAAAAACGAGGTATGACCCAGGTTTCTTCCAGACTGGCATGCGCATGCGCCTCTGCCTTGACGAGGACGGCCAGAGCGCAACGGGCCCTGCTGTCTTGCCTATCAGCAGCAAGGTCAAGTTTGCGTTGGAGTTGCAGCACAGTTGCGGCACAGTTGCAGACTACCCAGCGCATCAGTTGGGGCCGTGCGTGGCAATTACTGTATGAGGGCTGGCATTTAAGGGCATTTTACATGCGGCTTGTTACACACTAAAGTAGTTTCACAGATCTCAACTGCACAGTTGGGCGCCCAGTTGCCCGAAATTGCATTCTCAGCAGTGAGCAACGAATGATTGTCACGGCCAGCTGGCGGCCAGGTCAGCTTGACAGATCCGGAACTGTCGAGAGGTTGCAACCGTCTCGCTGCTATCAAATGGCAACCGAGGTCCGGTGCCGCCCCTCGCTTAGTGTCTGCTCAACCACAGCAACCAGTTGCACCGTCGTCAAGAAGACGCGCCGCCTGCATGCATGCAGCACATGCACACCAACCGCAGGAGCTCGTCACGTTCATAACAAGCATTGAATACCACTAGGTGGCACGTCATGTAGATTACCTACCACCTTGCATGTTGTAAGGAGCGCAAGCCACATCTTGTGGCCTGTGAATGGGGGTGACTGACGTGTTCAAACTCACTGTGATGTTGTGTTACAGGCAACCTCTTGCCGGCACGAGGGTGTTTGCGGCTTGGAGGCCCATTCTCGAGCTGTGGCATGCAGGTGCTGCGGCTGCGCCCTGGCCCGCGGTGAAGCGCACTGCGAGCACCCAGGTTACGGTGGCCAGTGAGATGTTTGCGCCTCGTCATGATAATTTAACAGCGATGCACCATGTTTTTCGCTCAACCATGCAGACGCATGGTCAAGATGACGCTGCTTTCAGGCTGCAGCCGAGGCTGCTTATTCTACAAGAGTCCCGTTGCAAGTTGTTGCAGCACCGCATGCGTCTACGGATGGCTACTGTGGTTGTGCAGTATGCAGGCGCTGTGGGGCGCGTGAATGACCCATTTTGTGCCAGTGCACTCTTACTCTTCATGGGCAAGCCCTGGGCGACGGATGTGGCTGTCAGTGTGCCAGCGGCAAGTGGTGGCACCCGCTGGTCCCTTGGCAAGTACTGCCTCTCCGCGGCTGCGTGGCCGGGATTCCAGCTCAACCCAAGTTTCCAAGCCTAAACCTGATGGGTAAATGAGAGCCTGGTTGTTGAGGAAGCGAGATCACCAGCTCGACTCTGGCACTTGCTTTGTAATGATGACCGTCATGATCAATGCCGAGCGACACGTCTCTTGGCTTGTCAAGGTTATGATTCCCGAGCTTGATAAGAGCAGGCAAGACGCGTACACCCGTGGCATCAGCGAGTGCTGGGAGGCCAGGGTGACAACCCGCGGAGGCCGCTTCTAGCAGCATTGGTGTGCGAAACGCAGGGCTAACGGTGCCTTGAGCCGCGCGGCAGCGGCAGCAGGCGTCGCCCCGCACCACGCGCGGCCGCGGCCGCGTCGCCGTTTGGGACCATGGTGGCGAGCGCTGTCCGCGACGCGCTGCACGGGGCGCGTGCGGGCGTCGCGCAGCTGCGGGATGTCGCGGCGGCGGCGGCCCAGGATGCGGCTCTCAAGGAAGACGTGGCGGCGCTGGAGCAGCAGGCAGCGGCGCTGTTGCACGACCTTGAGCAGAAGGTGAGTACCAATTTGGGCTTGGCGCCGACCTGGACGGGTCGTTTCAAATGCAGTACTAGAAAGCCCAAACCGCACCACTGTTAGCGTCCTGGGCGGTCGCGGCATAAGCATCTGCAGAAGCACATTGGTCGTGCGGACACGCGTCGGCCGCCTCTTGCGTTTGTGCTGAGTGCTGTGACGGACGCATGCACGCTGCTTGCGCGTGCGTGCAGCTTTGGCGCCACGCACTTCTGCCCGCCGCCCACGCCGCGATGCTGCCGGCACGCTCACGTATGCGTATCACGCGTGGACCCGCCACGCCGCAGGCCGCAGAGGGCCCGTCCACGTGGCAGGCAGTTGCAGAGGCGGGGTTTGAGATGCGCAATGCGCTCGAGATGGCTGCGGCCCAGGTCACAAAGCAGCTGCGCGGCGGCAGCGGCGGAGGTGGTGGCGGCGGGGGCCTGCTAGGGCGCTTCCTGCCTGGCAAGAAAGAGAATAAGAGCAAGGGCAAGGTCAAGCTTGAGGTGGGCTTTGCAGCGTGCGGTGCGCGTGTGGGGTATGCGTGTATGTGTGTGTGTGTGTGTGTGTGTGTGTGTGCGCGCGCGTGCGCGCGCGCGAGCGCGTGGTCATGCGCATGCGTGTGCACATGTGACGGCGCATTTGTGTGAGCTTGGCCGGGCTTGCGAGCGGCGCGCCTTTGACCCCTGAAGCCATACCTTTCGCCCTCCACCCTGCAGCCCCACGCCCCCCTCGCCCGCTACTCCCGCCCCACGCCCGGCCCACGCGCCCTCGCAGGAGGCGGCGGTGCGCCTGAAGGCCGCCTCCGAGCGCCTGCACCGCCAGGCCGCGCCGGCCGCGCCGCCCGGGACGCCGCGTGCCCCCATAGCGTCGCAGCAATCCGACACGCCGCTGGCGTCGACGTCGTCGGGGCCCAAAAGCGGCACGCCCGTCGAGAGGGAGGGGGGCCTGGCGCTAACAGTCCCAGGCAAGATTGAATTCTTCAAGTTTGTCCCCAGCATGGGCGGCAGCACCGGCGGCGGCACCGGCGGCAGCACCGGCGGCGGCGCCGGCGGCGCGTTGGGCGGGGCCGGCGCAAAGGAGGGCACGCTGTGGGTATGTGCGGGCACGAAGGTGCTCTTCTTCAGCCCGGGCGCGACCAAGGCAAAAGTGGAGCTTGGGCTGCCCCCAAAGGTGAGCGTGTGTCATTCGGGTGGCCGGGGGGCACTGGGGTTAGCGGGTGCAGTTGGGGCGAGGGAGTGTCACTCGGCTGAGTGAGAGGTCCAACGGATCAACAACAAACAACGAGCAGCAGCAATGACCCGGGCGGGCCGGCCGTCCAGCCTGCCCGGCCCCTCCAAGGCCCGCTGTGCTGCACCTCTGATCAAATATTGTGCCACATGCTCAACGTGCTCAACGCAACCCTTGGACCCCCGATGGGCTGCCCCTGCAGAGCACCGCCACCGCCGTCGCGGTCGGCTCGGGGGCAACCATCTGGACCGGGCACCTGGATGGCTCCGTCCGCGCGCATCATCGCGGCGCATGGGACAGCGCGCGTGCCGCGGCCTGCCGCGCGCCGATCCGGGCGATCGCAGTTGACCAGAAGGGGCAGGCCTGGGTCGGTGACGAGACCGGCCAGATCAAGGCGTTGAGGTTTGACCCCAGGGGCATGTCGGTCAACATCATCTGGCAGGCGCTCCCCGACGGCCCGCCCGTGCCCGGCGCGAGCCCGTGCACGGCGCTGCTCAGCCGCGGCGCTGTCATGGTGTCCGCCGGCGGGCGCTCCCCAAGCGCCGTCACGCTATGGGACACGCTGCGGTTCGCGTCGGTCGTGGGCAGCGACGCGGCGGCCTACGGGGCGCTGACGGGCACCCTGGAGTCCATACCCTGGCCCGAGGTGGACGCGCCGGCTGGCGGGGGCGGCGACTGGCGGCTGCTGAGCGGCCACGCGGGCGGGCAGGTCTGCTTGTGGGAGGTGGAGCCGCACAGGCTGCGCCTCGTCAGCGCGCTGGGGGCGCCCACGAACAGCGCCGTCAAGTGAGTGGGGCCGGCGACGCGGTGCGGGATGGGTTGGGTTGGAGCACCCAAACTCAGGGTTGGTGTTCACGCCCAGGCGTGCACCTCGCTGCATGCTGCGTCCACTCCGACCGCCTGTCACTTTCCGCATCATTCCCTCTGCACCACTGTCTTCAATCTGTGAGGTGTTGCAATCGGCCCGGACCATGCCTGACGCCATCGGTCGTCCAATCGGCGCCACCCGCCGTCAACCACTGCCAACCGCCGCCAACCACCGCCAACCGCCGCAGGGGCATCGCGCTGTTCCAGGATCTGGGCATCATGGTGACGTCACACGCAGACGGGATCCTGCAGGTGCGCCTTACTGCATCAATTATGACGACATGAGACGCGCACGCGTGTGATTGGGCACCAAAGGGCACCAAACGTAAGGATTTGAGGCGCATGCATGGCGGTTGTACTGCAGTGGCCTGCTTGATTTCGTGTCATGTGTCCATAGGATGCAAAGTGCTCATGGCATGGGGTTCATCGCGCCGCCCTCGTACTCCGCTTCTCATCCGTCGCAGGTGTTTCCGTTCCCCGCGCCCCACAACGGCGCCGGCGGCGACAGCACCGCGCCCGCCGTCGACGCGTCCTGCCCGCTGCCTGGCGGCGACGTGCACAAGTGGCGGCCGCACACAGCGAAAGTGCGGGCGCACAAGGGCGGCATAATATGCTCCGCATACCTGGTGCGTGGCGCGGGACAAGATTATTGGGACGAGCGCTGCAGGCTGTGTTGTGCAGCCTTGAGGCGTGGCAGCTGCGGCCTGTCAGGTTGGGTCGTGGCGTCAGAGCCGCGGGCTATGTGGCGCGCCCCCCCTGCCTTGCGCAGCCCCGTGTCCTGACCAGCTCGGCAACGCGCCTGAACCCCTTTTGTCCAACATTCCTCTCCTTTGCTACGCATGCGCCTCTTCCCCACCCCCCCCCCTTCCTCAGGGCATCCACCTCGTCACCGCCAGCCCGGCCGGCGCCAAGACCTGGTCTGCCCACAGCCTGCGCCTCGAGGCCGTCGCAGAGGGCGTGCCCCTCCACATGCCGTCCCTCGCCGCCACCCGCTCCCTCGCGGCCGCGACGGCGCTCGCAACCTTGGACGGCGAGAACCTTCCGCCGACGCTTGATGACTCAGGGATGGACCTAGACGAGCCCAGCTCCTCTGCCGGCGGCGGCGGCCTGGGGCACGACGGCTGCGGCGGCGGCGGCTCCCGGGTGGACGGGTGGCTGGCCGACGCGCAAAACTCTTACGGTTCCGCCTCTGGGGCGCTCGGCAACATGATGCCGGTCCCGGCCGGCTGCAGCGCCCCCAACCCGCTCGCGCGGCCTTTCATGATGCCCCCGCCGGCCGCGCCGGCCGCCGGGCCCCCGCAGCCGTGGGGTGTGGCCCCGCCGCCGATGTCGTACCCGCCGCCGTCGATGGCCGCGTCCATGGCGCCCCCGGCCTCGTCCGCGACGGTCGCGGCGGGCGCACCGCAGGAC